TTTTTTTTTCTTTGGAAGTTAAATTGCAAATATTACATCTTTGGGCTCAGCTTTTTGAATTCTAATTCTTCAGCGGGCCGGGGGCAGGGGGCGGTGATAGAGGCGGCTCTTAGAGGGAACTCATTCTTTGACTCCGCCTTAGATCTGGCTAAGCGGATAGAAAACGACCCTGCCTCGCTTTGTTTAAAGACGCAGGGTTCTAGCGTGGTGTTTCCCGCCCCCTACCCTTTTCGTCTTAAGCTTACCACGTTCCAGATACCGCCCAGATCAATTTTTTATCACAGCTGTCATTCTCATTTTTACAGGCATGAAAAGTGCGACTCGAGTTCAGTGTCTTGCCTCGGGTAGCTCGGGGATTCCCAGTCAGCTCCTCGCGACTTCGTCGCCGCTCCCCTTCCACCCCGCGCCTTCGCCGGCCGTCCCCTGCTCCATCCAGGCCACGAGGGAGACGGTGGGGTCTGGGGCCATCCAGGCCTGGCTGGGCGCGAGAGCTTCTGGCCCACGTCCACGCCCGAAATGGTCCTGATCAGTCTGGCTTTTCTGGTCCCCCCAGCCTTGCGGTAGCGGAGACCTGGAAACCATCGAGCTGACAGCCCAGAGCGTCGCTCCCCGGCCGCCGAGCGCTGACGCCGCGCCGGGGGCGGGGCAGCTGGAGACCGCGGGGAGAGGAGAGAGCTGCCGGGAAGGGCTGGCTGGCCTCGCAGCGCCCCGCCGCGGCTGCGGCCGGAAGCGGTCTCGTTGGCCCTGCGGCGCTGGAGCCCTGACGCACGGAGCTCGAGAGCGAGAACGGGAGAGAAAGGGGTAGAAATGGCGGCTCCGCTCAGCTCCCGCTGAGGAGGGCGAAGCCGGCGGAGTGTCTGTGCTGCCGCCTGCAGCACCGCCCCCGCTTCCCGCTCGCCGCTTGCTCACGCCGACTTCCCTTCCTCTGCCCGGCTCTCTCTTGTGCTCGTCTGCGCTCTGCACGCTCCGGACCGGCTCGTCTCTCACTGCCCGGCTCGGCTCCGCTGGC